CAAACATAGAATCAGCTAAAAACATGTTTGACTCCTTGAGAATGATGCATGAAGGCAACACACAAGTCAAAGAAACCAAAGCTCTTGCTCTCATTCAGAAGTATGAAGCATTCAAAATGGAAGAAGATGAAACAGTTGAAACAATGTTCTCAAGATTTCAAATTCTGGTTGTTGGGCTAAAAGTTATGGATAAAGGATACTCAATAGCATATCATGTAAATAAAATCATCAGAAGTTTACCCAAGAAATGGAGACCCATGGTCACAACATTAAAACTGGCCAAAGATCTTAACAAAATATCTCTTGAAGAACTTATCAGCTCCCTGAGAAGTCGTGAGATAGAACTAAAAGAAGATGAGCCCCAGAAGCAAGTTAAGTCTCTCACTCTTAAATCTAATAAAAAAATATGAACCTAAAGTTTTTCAGGAAAAAGAAGAAAACTCTGGAGGATCCTCGTTAGAAGAAGATGAACTATCTCTTCTCTCCAGAAGAGTCAATCAGTTGTGGAAGCACGGGTAGAGGAAGTTTAGAACTCCTAAAAGAACAGGGAATCATTCTGAATCATCTTCTGGATACATAAAATATAGTAACAGAGATATTGTTTGCTACGAATGCAATGAAAAAGGTCATTACAAAAGAGACTGTCCAAATCTTCAAAAAGAAAAACCTAAAAAGAAGTTCTTCAAAGAAAAGAAGAAAAGCCTTATGGCAACATGGCATGACTCAGAATCTTATGAAGCTGAAACAGAATCACAAGATGAACGAGCCAACATAGGCTTAATGGCTAACGTATCAGATGACACTGGATCATCTGAATCAGAGTCAGACTTAGAGGCAGAAGAGGTATTCTCTAACTTTTCTAGATCTCAATTAGAAGAAAGCCTATCAGAAATTCTTGAAAGATATCAGCAACTTCGAGTCAAAAACAAGAACCTGAAAAGGATCTAGTATCTGACTCTGAAGAAACTAAGAAACTAAAAACAGAAAACTCTGAGCTAAAAGAAACCATTTCTAAACTCGAAAATGAAAATTATGTTATTAAAAACAAATTACAAAAAGCACAGAAAGAAATTGTTTCAGAAGTTTCTAGTAATTCTGATAGAATCTTAAAAGAATAATGATCACAACTTTCAAAAATTTCTAGCTAAAAACATAGATAGGAGCAAGATGGCTTCAATGATCTATTGAGTTAGCAGAATTGGAAAAAAAAGGTATAGGATATAAGGGTAAATAATCTTAACCAAAGAAAGTTGATGATATAGTCATAAAATACACACCTTTCTATTCACAGTTCACCTATGGACATACACATGACATAAAGTATACTAGTAATGTTTTTTCTGGTAAACCAAAATTCAAACAAGTATCTAAGGACAAAATTTTCTATGTTGCAGATGTCTTTAATAGCCAAGTTGAAACACCAATCTTGGTACCTGGACTCTGGATGCTCTTAACACATGATGGGAAGAAAGCATATGTTCCAAAGTCTAGAGCTTAAATTTGGAGGCTCTGTAGGTTTTAGAGGCAATCAGAAAGGAAAGATTATTGGCTCTGGAACTATTGGCAACGGTACACTTCCTTCTATAACTAATGTTCTGTTGGTAGATGGATTAATGCATAACCTGTTATCCATAAGTAACTTAAGTGATAACGGTTATGATATAATCTTTAATTAAAAGTCTTGTAAAGCAGTTAGTCGGAAAGATGGATCTATCCTTTTTAATGGAAAGAGAAAGAACAACATTTACAAAATAAAACTTTCTGAACTAAAAAGTCAGACCGTAAAATGCCTAATGTCTGTTAATGACGAGCAATGGGTCTGGCACCGAAGATTGGGGCATGTTAGTATGAGAAGAATATCTCAGATTAACAAACTCAATTTGGTCAGAGGACTTCCTAACCTAAAATTCAGCTCAGATGCTCTGTGTGAAGCATTTCAAAAAGGCAAGTTTGCAAAACCTTCTTTCAAATAAAAAAATGTTGTTTCTACCTCTAGACCATTAGAACTTCTGCATATAGATCTATTTGGACCAGTGAAAACTGCATCCATCAGTGGCAAGAAGTATGGATTAGTGATCGTAGATGACTATAGCAGATGGACATGGGTAAAGTTCTTAAGACACAAGGACGAGTCACACTCTATGTTCATTACCTTATGTAACCAAGTTCAAAACAAAAAAGATTTTAGAATTGTCAAAGTTAGAAGTGATCATTATGGGGAATTTGAAAACAAAAAATTTGAACTTTTTTAATGAGAGTGGCATCTCTCATGATTTCTCTTGTCCTAGAACTCCTCAACAAAATGGATTTGTAGAACAAAAGAATAGAACTTTACAAGAAATGGCCAGAACCATGATCAATGAGACTAACATTGCTAATAACTTCTAGGCAGAAGCAATTAACATAACGTGTTATATTCATAATAGAATCTCCATAAGACCTATTCTGGATAAGATTCCATATGAAGTATGGAAGAACAAAAAGCCCAACATCTCTTATTTCCATCCATTTTGATGTACTTGTTTTATTCTAAACACTAAAGAACATTTGAACAAGTTTGATTATAAAGCACAAAAGTGTATCATGTTAGGATACTCTGAATGCTCAAAAGGTTACAAAGTATATAACACAAACACGGATTATGGAAGAATCTATCAGTGTCAAATTTGATGATAAGCTTGGCTCTCAAAAGTCAAAGTAGGGTAAATTTTTTGCAGACATAGAAGTTAAATTTACAAGTACTGTGGACAGAGCGTCAGAAGCTCTTAATAAATAATCACATCCAAATACAGAAGAAGATGTCACAAATATTACAGCAACTTCTGAAGACTCCATCCAGAAAAGACAATTCAGAAGCAGCTTAGCACATCCAGAAAACACGATTTTGGGAAAGAAAGAAGACCCAATCAGAACAAGATCTACATTCATAAATTCTGAAGAATCACTCATGGGATTAGTGTCTGTAATTGAGCCAACTTCCATTGATGAAGTTCTTCTAGACAATGATTGGATCCTCGCAATGCAGGAAGAACTAAATCAGTTCACCAAAAACGATGTGTGGGATCTAGTTCCTAAACCAAAAGGCTTTAACATCATTGGAACCAAATGGAGCTTCAGAAACAAGCTAAATGAACAAGGAGAAGTCGTCAGAAACAAAGCACGACTGGTGGAACAAGGTTATAAGGGATAGACTATACAAAAACCTTTGCTTCACTCGCAAGGTTAGAACCTATCAGACTTTTAATTTCTTTTGTTGTAAATAACGACATCACTCTTTATCAGATGGATGTTAAAAGTGTTTTTTTAAATGGTTACATTGACAAAGAAGTTTATGTTCACCAACCCCTAGATTTGAAAATTCAAAACATCCAGAATATGTTTATAAACTTAAGAAATCATTAAATGGTCTGAAACAAGCTCCCAGAGCTCGGTATGAAATATTAAGTAACTCTTTGTTAGAAAATGATTTTACCAGAGGAAAGGTGGACACAACCTTATTCTGTAAACTGTTTAAAAATGACATTCTGGTTTTTCAAATTTACGTAGATGATATAATTTTTTGATCTACTAAAGCCTCTTTGGGAAAAGAATTTTCTAAGTCTATGCAGGAAGAGTTTGAAATGAGCTTGATGGGTGAACTCAAGTTCTTCCTGGGTATCCAAATCAATCAAACTCCGGAAGGAACCTACATTCATCAAAGCAAGCATGTCAAAGAACTTCTGAAGAAATTTGACTTGTCAGAATGTAAGCTATCCAAAACTCCCACGCATCCCACATGCATTCTGGAAAGGGAAGAGGTAAGTAAGAAGGTAGAACAGAAGCTCTACAGAGGTATGATTGGATCTCTCCTATATTTAACAGCTTCAAGACCTGATATTCCGTATAGCGTTTGTCTTTGTGCTAGATTCCAATCAAATCCTGGAGAATCTCACTTAACAACTATTAAGCAAATTTTCAAGTATCTAAAAGGTACTACTAATCTTGGTCTTTGCTTATAAAATCCAAAGAATACAAATTAATAGGGTACTGTGACACTGACTTTGTCAGAGACAGAATAGAAAGAAAAAGTACTTCTGGAAGCTGCCAATTTTTGGGAGACAATCTAATCTCGCGGTCCAGCAAAATACAATCCACCATTGCACGATCAACTCTTGAAGCTGAATATATAGCAGTAGCTGGATGCATCACACATATGCTCTGGATGAAGAGTAAGCTTGAAGACTTTAACATATATGAGAGTAACATTCCTATCCTCTGTGACAATACTTCTGCTATTTGTATTTCAAAAAATCCTATTTTACATTCTACGGCTAAACATATAGAAATTAAATATCATTTTATTAAGGACTATATTCAGAAGGGAATTCTCTCTTTAAAATTTATAGACACAGACCATCAATGGGTTGATGTTTTCACTAAACCCCTTTCTGAAGATAGATTTAATTTAATTCTGAAACATCTCAGTATGAAATTATACCCAAAATGATAATGTTGTTTCTGTATACCTTAACCCTCAGAACTTTATGCTTTAATTTTCTTTGTGTGAACATCTAATCAATAGTTCTTCAGAAGTGAGAAGGAAACTTGTATCACGATTTATCCAGAAGATCTGAACATTTTCCAAAAACAGTTCATTTCTAAGATAGAAGCAAGCAGTTCACAATATCAACATTTGTCAACTCTAAACACAAGGTCTTCCTCTAAGGCTGAACACGTGTTCAAATTCTGAAGGGACTGAAACAGTTGAGTTGATGCATTAAGGCTCGAGTCAAATCGGTAATTGTTCCATATCTTCACGCTATCCCTCTTTTCATGAATCATTAAATGCATGTAATCATTTTCTTTAGATCCTTTTATTTTTATTTAAAACTGCTATTTTTTTTCTATTGGCTATATATACTTCATTCGTTCATAATCATTATCACACTTCCACTCTCACTCTTTTTTCTCTCTTAAAACTATTCATCTTTCAAAAACCCTAAAAGAGTCTACGTGAACAAATGGCTTCCTCTCAACAAAATCCTCAAGGTTCTCAAAACATTCCTGGTTCTTCCTCCTCAAATGAAGAAAGGTACATCGAACCCTCAAGAACTCTTCTCACACTCATTGATTCTCTGGAAGTTCTGTGTGAGCTTATTGTTGATTTCGTAAGCATGAAGGAAAATGGGTATGATTTGATCCCTGATGTTGAGTTACAAGGATGGACTAAGTATTTTGATCGCCTCATAGGTCCAATTTTTTCAAAACTTGTTAAAGAATTCCGGATCCATGCCACAACTTTAAATCATTAGGTAACATCCTATGTTATGGGAAAGAAGATTATCATCACTGAATATCTCATTGGGAAACTCATAGGTCACGAAGGTGGCGGTATTCGATGCAGTGATATGGCAGATAAAAGTTCTGACCTAACCAAGGTCTCAAAGGAAATTTTTACTTCTGGCCAATCATCCAACAAAATCAAATATCTAAAGGATTACCTCAGAATTTGGTCCAAAATAATTCTGGAATGCATCAATCACAGGAAGCCTACAAGTTCTCCAGACTACATCAACATTGATCAAAAGTACTGTTGTACCCCAATTTTTGACCTAAGATCCCATTTTTATTTTTTCATTTTTTTAAGATAAGTCAAGGTCACGAAATACGGTCGGTTTTAATGTCTCACCTTCGAGCTTTGACTATGCGAAGATTGTCAAGCGTTTTTGAACATTTTTAGCCTATGTATCACTAATTTCTAATCGCATACAAAGGTGTATGTTCATGTTTTCTTTTGTTTCATGTGCAGAGACAGGTCTGAATCAAGAGCATCAGGTGTCGCGCCCCAATTAAGGTTTTGAGTCTCCCAAGCCAGAAGTACGGTTGATTGTGGATTCTCGAAGACTGATTCATCAAGGCACACCGTTGCACCCGTAATTTCGCCCCTAATTTTTTCAATCGCACATTCATACCATATTTTGTCATTTGGTCACAATCATTAGTAAATATCTTCATTCATCACATTTTTGCATCATTAGTCGTATTTAAGTTGATCAGAAAAAGTCAGTTTAAATCAAAGTTTGCATCGTCTTTCAGTTGTAAAATACCCGGCGTTTCACATCATTCATTTTTACCTGTTTACTATTTTCTTGCATTGCTCCAAGTTGTTTATATGTCGATAATAAAAATATTTCGGTTTTATAGACAAACTGTTAAAAGCGGTTCGACACTGTGCGGAAAATTAGCGAGAAAATATTTCAAGTTTTCACCTTTTACCGATCATTTTATGAATCTGCGTTTCGCGTAGATTATGACGGTATGCTCGCTTTATTTTTCGGTATAGTTTGAAGTCTCGTTTTTAACCGTAAACGTCTGTTTAGCCTGATATTTTTATTATTATCATTTTATTTTGATTTCGACTTTTTGAATATTTTTTATTTAATCTTTGTGACATGTAGTTTATTTTAATGTGTGTACATTTTATTTTTTTCGGATAAATTTTCGTCCGTTTTTTGTTATTGTTTTCGGTCATTTTAGCTCTTTATTTTTTATTCAAAAAATATATTTTAAATTGAATTAATTTTAATACTTTCAATTTTTATTTCATTTTTATCATTTAAGGGCTATTTGGTCACAAAAATATATTATTTACACTGTGCTTGATTCTTATTAGTTGTTAGCAAAAATGACGGATCAGTAAATTGAGTTTATTTTGAATGGCTCTGATTGCAATCATAAATCCATCTCCACTTTATTTTTCTATTTAAGTAGCATTTTTTCTTTGTAAAAAAAGGGGGAAACAAAAACAAAAACAACACAAACAGTGATATTCGATCCCTCAATACCCTTTCCCCCTTTATCCAATCTCTTGCCTGAAACCAACAAAAACAAAAACAAATAACATACAAAAAAAGCATTAACAGTAAATATTTCCCTTTTCTCTCAACTCTCCCCACTCTACCTTTCACTCTCTCTTGCTAGCACACGCCATCCCCCCTCACCAAACTCCATTCACCATTCAATCTTTCTCCCAACCATCCTCACCGTAACCTCACCCTGTCCGATTCCCTCTCCTCATCTTCAGCTTCACCGGCAACCATTCTCCACAGTAACCACTCAATTCCAACCTTCTCCTATCATCACCCTCATACCACATTCTTCGTTAATTCATCCAATATCATTCCAATACTCCTTTCTACAAAAAACCCACCATAGCCACTATTCTCATCATCTAGCGTGTACTGCATCATCACTTTTCCATCTCAACCGATCCACAATACATCATCATCGCCTTCATCCAATATCACAGCCTCTTCCCTTCCGCGAAGTTCTCCGCAAACCTCCAGATCCCTCAGTTATCAAACAGCCGCACAACATACTCCCTAAACCTCCTAATCAACAACACCAAAATCTTAAACCAAAACCCAAACTCAACTGCGAAGCTTCAATGGGGAAGGCAAAAGCAAAAGGTAAGCATCGTTTGGACAAGTGGTACCACTTAGCCAAAGAATCCGGTTACAGATCCAGAGCAGCATTCAAACTCCTTCAAATCGATGGAAAATTCGGTTTCTTCAGTTCCGCACGCGCCGTCCTCGATCTCTGCGCCGCTCCCGGAGGTTGGATGCAGGTGGCGGTCAAACATGTTCCCCACGGAAACCTTGTCATCGGAGTTGATCTTGCCCCCATCGCTCCCATGATGTTAGCCACCTCTATTCAGGAGGATATCACGAGACCTGAGTGCAAGTCACGGATTAAGAAAATAATGAACCAAAATGGGTGTAGTGCTTTTGATGTTATTCTTCATGATGGTTCGCCGAATGTCGGTGGTGCTTGGGCTCAAGAAGCTACGAGTCAGAATGCTCTTGTTATTGACTCTGTTAAGCTGGCTACACAGTTTTTAGCACCTAAGGGCACTTTTGTCACCAAGGTTTTCAGGTCGCGGGATTACAGTGTCGTTGTGTATTGTTTGAAGCAGTTGTTTGAGAAGGTTGAGGTGGATAAACCGATTGCGAGTAGATCTGAATCGGCTGAGATACATCTTGTGGAGCTTAAGTACAAGGCCCCTGCTAAGATTGATCCCCGCCTTCTTGATTACAAGCATCTTTTTCAGGCATCTGCTCAGCCGCAAGCTAAGGTGGTGGATGTACTTCGAGACAATAAGCAAAAGAGGCAGGGGAGGACTCTTTATGGATTTGGGGGTTAGTGAATTATTAATGCATGAATTAGTAATTGGTCATTTGAAATGGTTTGTTGAATTAATCTCCGTTTGTTGAATCCCATCAGTAAAGTATAAGTTTTTTGGCTATATAATTATATTTGTTATTCAAAAAAAATATAAAAAAATATATTAGTAAATCTTATAATAAATTTAGTTTAATATTAATTTAGAATTCTTTAATTAGTTTAGATTTATTTTATAACTTTAGAATTTTATTTCATTTAGTAAATTTTAGAATTTTATTTGTTTTAGTTTAGTTTAATAACTTTAGAATTTTATTTGATTTTATTTAAGTTAACTTTAGAATTTTATTTGTTTAGTTTTAGTTCAATAACTTTAGAATTTTATTTGATTTTATTTAATTAATTTTAGAATTTTATTTGTTTAGTTTTAGTTTAGTGACTTTAGAATTTTTATTTGATTTAGAATTAGTTTAATAAGTTTATAATTTTTATTTAGTTTAATAACTTTAGAGTTTTTATTTGATTTAAATTTAGTTTAGTAGTTTTAGAATTTTATTTGATTTAGATTTAGTTTAGTAACTTTGGAATTTTCATTTGTTTTAGATTTAATTTAGTAACCTTAGGATTTTAATTTAATCTAGATTTAACTTACTAAATTTTAAAACTTTAGTTTAGTTTAGATCAAATTCAATAATACTAGATTTTTTTTTATAACCTTAGAATTTGTAATTAGTTTAGAATTATTTTAGTAAGTAATTTTTAATTTAGTTCGAATAACTTCTTTAGATAATTAGTTATATTCCTTTTTATTTGTATATTTCTGTCATTTCAATTTCTCGGTGCCTCTTGATCATTAATTTGTTTTTGTCAGATTTATTTTCTTGTGAACTTCTGAATGTTTATATTTTGATGTTCATTTTATTTTGCTTACTCCAAGGAAAAGATTTAAATTTGTTGACTTCACGTCATCAAATACATCTCATCCGATCGTGCGAATACCTTTTTTTTCATTTTTTGTTTGTTTACTATTTTGCTAAACTCCAGATAATTTTCCCAAAAGACTCCATTTTCAAACTCACACCTTTTAAGTCAAAACTTTGACATTAGGTCGTCGTATCTTCAAAAATCTCGTCCATACCCATCTTTTAGCCAAACGAATCATTTTTAATCAAACAAACAATTTTAACCAAAAAACAGATATTTCAAAAGGTTCCTGTGGAGTACCGCAGATGCATTGGGTGCTAATACCTTCCCATTGTATAACCAACCCCCGAACTCTCGATCTCTTTTAAAAACGCATTGTATTTTCATTATTTTTAAATATTACTTTACATTGCATATTTTAGGGTTTTACTTCGCTCTTTTCCCTTTTCCCTTGGAAATAATAAAGCGCGGTGGCGACTCTTGCTTTTGTGAGTCAAGTTAATTAATAGCTTGATCTCCGATTTTCACCGCTACAGAATTGGCGACTCTGCTGGGGACAGATTGACCTCTTGCTGGTCCATCCCTAAGTGGGTTAAGCCTAATTTGTTTTATCTGTTTTATCATTATTTGATTGTTTGATTATATGTATATATTATGATTATTTGGGTGTTGATAATATTTACAAAGGACAAGTCCTATACCCGAACTAAGTTACACTTATGAATAGGACGGGCGGTATAGTCATGTTAACTTTGAGGGAGTAATCCCGAAGAAGAAGGCATGAGATCCCCCACTCAGTGGAAGGCCCTTTTGAACGTAATATTTATTTACCGAGTAATTAGGAAGAAATTATTATTTTCGACCTGGGAGCCAGAGAAGCTGGGAACCGTAGAACCCTAACCCATCTTGGCCTTTTAGGAGTAGCGCGGAGATTATAACGGAGTAATCCGGAAGTAATTGTTACGCGATTCTACGCTCGGATGAGTTTCTCTTGAGAATATTGCTGATTATTGAGTAATCAAGACGTTGGTAATATCCGAAAGAGGAATGTAGACTCCGGGAACTCTTAGAACCTTGCTCTACAGGTGTGATTAAACCGTTAGTACCTACCTTGGGGGTGTTCCTTACCTTGACTCCATGCTCGTGATGTTGAACCTTTCGACTTTATTTGTGACCTTGCTTGTGGTTGTTGCATAGCCATGCATTCATGCATCCATAAAACCCTTTTCACTTGACTTTGAAGGAATTTGGAGGTCTTTCTTTGTAAACATCACAAGTTTCGTCAAGCTCAATGGATCTTGGGTGTTGATAGGGCGAAAACCCTAATCCACCAAAATGGATGATTGATCTTGATGATAACTTGATCAATGTTTGGATCCAATTTAAAATTCATCTTTTATCTTCATACTTTGATGTTTACAACTTAATATCTTGAGTTCCTTGAAAATCAAATAAAAACTCTCTTTTGCATATCATACATCATTCTACATTTTTTGTTTCACTTTCAAAGGTCTTTTTTCCGAGTCTTATTTTTCCTTTGGTCTCACCAGTACAACACTCACGCTAAGAGAACAATGGAGAATATCAAGCAAGAGGTTTCTGAACTCCGTAGAGAGATGACTAATGTGAAAGCTAGTGTGGAGTGCTTAACTGGTTTGGTTGAAATTCTGGTTGCCGCCCAAGTCAATCCTTCTAGGAGGGACGAAGCGATGATAAAAGTCTTCACTGAAACTCTAAAATCATTCTCTCATGAGAA